TGAAAGTTCCACAAGAATGTAAGTGGCCAGGCTCGCAAAACTGGCCAGGGCTGAAACAAGCCCGAAACAGCCGAGACAAGACGAACCGAGAACTGGACAGGGCTGGAAAATCTGAATACGAATATTCTAGCGCCGCCGGCCCATGGAGTTCTCGACCGCTTCCCTGGGACCGGTGTGCCTTCCTGGGCCTTTCTTCGACGGCTCCGGCTCGGATCTGCACAGGAAAAGCCCCAGGCGCTCCGAGCAGCAGAGAGCCACTGGCACGATCTGTTCTCGTCGCCAAGAGCCGGTAGGGCGTGCCGGGCGCTGCGCACGCCTCGAGCAGCGACTCGGGCGGAGGAGCCGGCCCTGGGAGGAGGAGGAGGAGGAGGAGGAGGAGGAGGAGGAGGAGGACGAGGACGAGGAGGAGGAGAGCTGCGCTGCCCGCCGCGCCTCGCGCGCACCACCCTCGCACGCGCCCACGAGGCAGCCCTCCGCGGGCCCGTGCGCCCCTCACGAGTCCATGCGCCGGTCGAAGCCCAGCGGCAGCGAGCCGTAGCAGCCGTTCAGCGCGCCTATCCTTTGGCGCGGCCGCGCCAGGCCGACGCCATCAAGTGGCGAGTAGAAGGACGACGACGACGACAACGACGAAGCCGACGCTGACGCCGACGCCGACGCCGACGCCGACGCCGACGCCGACGACGACGCCGACGCCGACGCCGACGCCGACGCCGACGCCGACACAACGACGACGACGACGACGACGACGAGGAGGGGGACGATGATCCAGGAGAGCTGCATGTCCAAAGCCCTTCAGAACATGAGCACAGGAGCGCAGGGCCGTCAAGGGATCCAACATGACCGATGGATGGTAGCGAGGTAAGCCTACACTGGGCTATCTCTCGCTCCATCGATGATCGAGAGAGGCTGAAACCATGACGCACGTGGCGGTGACGGTGGGGGTGATGATGACGACAACGACGAGGACGAGCACGGCGACGGCGATGGCGCAAGTTTCGGGAGAGCGACGGTCCCCAGACTCTCGAACCTTGCCTACGGCAAAGCTTTCACATTGGATCATTACCTTGCAGCCCAAAGGCCCGCAAATTGCCCCCACATGCCGATAATAAAAATGTAGCAATAGATGAACACACGCACACACACACACACACACACACACACACACACACACACACGCACGCACGCACGCACGCACGCACGCACGCACGCACGCACGCACTCACGCACGCACACGCACGCACACACACACACACACACACACACACACACACACACACACACACACACACACACGCGCGCGCGCGCCAGATCGGAGGTAGGCGGACGGATGAGGAGGTCCCGAGGGGCTCCAGAAATCCCTGTAGTCCCCTGGGGGCCTCCCGAGGCCCAACTACGATCTCGACGTCCGAAACCCGAGACCCCCAGCGTCGTGACACTTTCACATCGTTGGCCCCCCGAGACCTCCACCCCTTCCCCAGGGACGGCTGCCCATCTCGAGTCGTGTTTTGTTGATGGTCCTGGGGCCCTGTCTGATGTCCCCACAGGCCAAAAACTGCCAATGGCATGTTTGGTCGCAGCGCTGGCGGTCGTTCCGTGCGGTCGAAACGGGCGCCGTGCTGCGGAGGTGCCAGCTGTGCACAAGGGGGGAGAAGCGCTCAGACCATGCATGACGAAGGCAATAATCGGGTTGGGAGGAGGGGGCTGGGAAAATACAAGGCACGACTGTGTAATAAACACATTCAACATACGCGGTAATACGGACGACCTGATCATGTCTCCCATCCTCCTCCTCCTCCTCCTCCTCCTCCTCCTCCTCCTCCTCCTCCTCCTCTTCCTCCTCCTCCTCCTCCAAGCCCGATAACTGTCTATCTGAGTGTAGACCATCGCAAGAGGTGTGCGGGCGGCCACGGGCTCCGCAAGGAGTCGCTCGAAGGGAGGCTCCTCCGGGACCGACCCGGCTCGGCGGCTGCGCAGAAAACTACGGCCAACCAGCATGGTAGGGATGCACGATGAGGATGCAAGGGCCTTGGGCACCCGTTTCGAAGCTTTTCGAGCGGGGCGCGGCCAGCGAAAGCAGCGAAGGATAGAAGATGATGAAAAATGGAAGATAATGAACAATCAACCAACAAAAAAACAAAAGTAGTCGAACATCGTCCTCATATCATGTTTATGTTATTCTTGAATTTCCCTCCTGTAGAGGGGCGTGCCCGATTTACAGACCGAAGGGGCAAGGATGCAAGGGTACCCCCTTGGGAAGGTTGCCCATCCTTGCTATGCGGGATGACTGTACCCAAACCACTCCGTCGCCTCTTCGCTCTCACCTCGGAGACGGCGCCGAGACCAAAAGGAACTGGCACCGCTGCCCCGACGCCCTCCCTGGTGCATCTCGGTGAGAATCTCGAGAGAGATCTGGCCGTGGCGACCAGGGCACTCCAGGACTGAGCAGCGGCATCGGCATCTCCTGGGAGGCGTACATCTATGCACCGACCTGTTCGGGGCGTTTTGTTGCAGAGCGCGTGGGCCAAGACGGCGTTAGCGCAGCTGCCGACAGAGAGCGCGCATGCCATGCGCCCCGTCTGGGGCGCGTTTGGGCAAGCGCGGCGCAGCGGAGGGAAGGAGGAGGAAGACGCGCGGCGCAGCGGAGGGGACACGCAGCACCTGTCCACGAGAGAAGATTGGAAAACCAGGCGGCGCCGAAAAAAAAAAACCTGCGATGAACTCTACATCCGGGGAATGGCTTGGTGTATAAATACGCTCCTCCGATCTCTCCCCATGACACATGTTTCCTCCTGGGCCGTGTTCTGGGACACTCCTGGGGCCCGCGGAGGGCCCCGAAGGCCCGAAAACGGCGACAGAGGAGGAGGAGGAGGAGGAGGAGGAGGAGGAGGAGGAGGAGGAGGAGGAGGAGGAGGAGTAGGAGGAGAGGAGAGGGAGTGAGGAGGTAGGAGGGGAGGATGATGAGTGAGGAGGAGGAGGAGGAGCGACGGCGACGGCGGACGCTTTTTTCTGCTGCTGGCGAGGGCGGCCGCCAGGTCGAAGGCCAGGCGCCGGCCGCCCGCGGGGGAGGCCCCCCCTCGGCGGGCAGCGGCCGCCGGAGGTGGACCGCGTGCTCCGTGCGCAGCATGCCGTGGGTCTTGTGGGCCTCGCTCTCTCGCCGCCGCCGCCGTCCTCCTCCTCCTCCCCTCCTCCGCGCCCTCCTCCTCGTCCTCCCTCCTCCTCCTCAGCCTGCTCCGCCTCCTCCTCCTCCTCCTCCTCCTCCTCCTCCTCCTCCTCCTCCTCCTCCTCCTCCTCCTCCTCCTCCCTCTCCTCCCCGTCCTCCGCCTCCTCCGCCTGCTCGCCTGCTTCCGCCTGCCTCACGCCTCCTCCTCCTCCTACTCCGCCTCCTCCTGCTCCTCCTCCTGCTCCTCCTCCCTCCTCCTCCTCCTCCTCCTCCTCCTCCTCCTCCTCCTCCTCCTCCTCTTTCCTCCTCCTCCTGCATCCCCCGTGCAGGCCCCACAGCGGAGCGATCGACCCCCTTTAGGTGGTTTCTCGACGCCTGGTCCGCTCATCTTCCTTTTTGGGGGTCCCTTGCTGCGTCGCTATTAGACGCACACATCATCGACCATTGTGCTGCTCCTGCTCCTGCTCCTGCTCCTTCTCCGGCTCCCTCCTGTTCCTGCTCCTCCTCCGCCTCCTCCTTGCTCCTGCGCCGCTGCTCCTCGCCTCCTCCTCCTCTCTCCTCCTCCTCTTCCTCCTCCTCCTTCTCGCTTCCTCCTCCTCCTCTTCTCCGCTTCCTCCGCCTCCTCCTCCTCCATCCTCCTCCTCATCCGCCTCCTCCTCCTCCTCCTCCGCCTCCGTCCTTCCTCCGCCCTCCTCCTCCGCCTCCTCCTCCGTCCCGCTTCTTCGCCTCCTCCTCCTCCTCCTCCTCCTCCTCCTCCTCCTCCTCCTCCTCCTCCTCCTCCTCCTCCTCCTCCTCCTCCTCCTCCTCCTCCTTCCTCCTTCCTCCTCCTCCTCCTCCTCCTCCTCCTCCCACTCCTCCTCCTCCTCCTCCTCCTCCTCCTCCTCCTTCCTCCTCCTCCTCGCCTCCTCCTCCTCCTCCGCCGCCTCCTCCTCCTCACTCCTCCTCCTGCCCTCCTCCTCCTCCTCCTCTCCTCCTCTCCTCCTCCCCTCTCCTCCTCCTCCTCCTCCTCCTCCTCCTCCTCCTCCTCCTCCCCTTCCTTCCGCTGGGCTTGACGCGGCCCGCAGTGTCGGGACCGCGCGCCTGGCCGGGCCGCCCGGCGCGGGCACCTACCCGCAGGCGGGCCCCCCAGCGTTTGGCCTGCGTGCCCTCCCCGCGGCCGAGGGTCTGGAGGGTGACGCCCGACGCGTTGCGGGAGGCGCCCGCCTTCCATTCCCCCGGGAGGGGTCCACCTGGCAGCCCCTCCAGCATGGGAACTGGTGGAGTGCCGCGCGGGCGGGGACCCCCGGCGGCCCCGCACTGCGCCGAGTGCCGTCTGGGGGTAAAAATTGTTCCCTAAGGTGTTTCCCCCCCCCGGCGGCCCCCCCAGCGCGAGGCCGGCGAGGTGCCGCGCGGGAGTGGCCCCCGGCAGCCCCGCTGGGGACGGATTGCTGCGCGGTGGGCAGAATTTCTGAACAGGGCCAATTGAGGCACCGGTAATTAGTTGGCCCTCGGGGGCCCCTCGTCGCCACGACTGGACGCAGCGCAAGCGCCCAGGGAGGGCCCAAGGACCGACTTTGGGCTGCCAATGCCTCAACTCGCTCTGCTCCGCGATATTGGAGGGCCGGGCTGGCTGCTGCGTGGGCGGGGCCTCGTCCGCGCAACTCTCGATCGTGGCCGTGGCCACGACCGCGAAGCCGGCCGCCTCGGCGGCCCGCAGCGTGGACGCCAGGTTGTCCACGTAGTGCCCCCCCTCCAGCTCGGCGTCGCCGTCGCCGATCTTCAGCGTCGCGGTGCCCCCGGGGCGGAGGCTCCGGAACGCGGCGGCCAGCCACTGCTCCTGCTGGCGCTGCCACGCCTCCGCGAACTCCGCGGGGCCGCGCTCCAGCCACCCACGCCTGGCGCCCAGCTCCTCGACCGCCGAGGCCGCGGCGCCCGCGGCGCCTGGCGCCCCCGCCGCCAGAGGGCCCCGCAGGAAGCCTTGGGCGTCGCTCAACCTATAGGGATCCCAGCTTCGCGCTCTCGCGCTGCGCGGAGCGCGAAGCGCGAATGACTTCGCGCTCTCGCGCCGCCTCCCCCCAGGGAGAAAAGGAGCACAAAGAGGAGGGGGAGAAGGAACGAGGACTGCGAAGCGCGAAGCGCGAATAACTTCGCGCCCTCGTGGGAGCCCTTGCTTAACGGAGGGGGCGAGCAATGGGAGGGGGTGAGCAAGGTGCATTTTTTTCAGACCCTGATGGCCCTCTTTGGGATCCTCTGTAAGGCCCCTTACCCAGACATAGGGCTGCTCCAATTTTCTCGATGCGTGGGCCCTGGAGGTCCGGACCGCCTCCCCAGGACCGGTTTTTCGTCCTGAGCCGTTTTTTGTCGCTCCCGAGGCCCTGCGAGGGCCCCCAGAGGCCAACATGGCCAAAATCCCGCCGCCCCAATTTTCTTGGAGCGCCGGATCTCCGGGTGGGTGCCCCAAAGGGCCCCCTCTGGGGGCCCCAGAGGGCTCCTTTTCTGCGGCCCTCGCTGCCCCCCCGGTGGTCGCCCCCCCCCCTCAGTGCACAACACCCAGCCAGCAGCCTGGCAGCGCGGCGCCGGCGGCGCCGCGGGCTACCCGCCGGCGGGCCAGGCCGGCCGTGGCGAGGTAGTCGTACACCCCGGGGTAGGGGGGCGAGGTCACGATGGCGTCCGCGGGGGGGTCCAGGCGCAGCCCGCGGTTGTCCTTCCGAGGGACGTGCACGTCGTTCATTTCTCGTCGTGCTCATTTCGAAGTGTGCTCGTTTCTAGTTGTTCCTGGCCCCCTAATCCAATAGCCCTTATAACTGCGACGAGGCGACGATCGAAAGCAGTGCCCCGGCACTGCTTTGAACGCGTTCAAAGCAGTGCCCCGGCACTGCTTTGAACGTATGATATGATGATATGATGATGACTATGATTGATGATGATGATGATTTTTCCAGCGTACACTGTCCGCAACTGCGGCAATCAACATCATGTTCCACTTGCCCGCAACTGCGGCCATCACCAACACTGCCCCTCGAAGCTCCACGGAGGGCGCTCGGCAGGTCGCCCGCTCGAGCCCCACTCGACTTCACGCTGAGGAGGCGAGCCCTCAGGGGCATTGTCCGCAACTGCGGCATGATCAGAGGGCCACCACTGCGCGCCATCAGCGCCCCATTCGCTCGAGCTCCAGTCCCACCAGGACCAGCCCTGCCATCTCGTGGCGGGACTGCGCGCCTCCCATGCGCCGCTGCCGCTGGCGTCCCAGGACCCAGCCGCCACTGCGGCACAAGAAGGGGTCGCATCGTCGCCGTTGGCAGCTTGCGGCGGTGGCGTGTTCCCAGCTCGCTCAGCCCCAGCGTCTCTCCCCGCAACTGCGGTTCCCATCTGGGGTCGGACGCCCTTCCCCGCAACTGCGGTGTCCGCGTAGCTGCCCTTCTTGCCGCCCTTCTTGCCGCCCTTCCTGCCGCCCTTCCTGCGTTCCAACCTCGCGGCGAGTCTTTCAGGTGACCTGCGGCACGTATTGTGCGTGAAAGCCACCAGAGGGAAGTGCGCTCCGTGCCTCGCCCTGCCGAAGGCGCCATGCCATATCTTGTCGTCGAGGTTGCCCTGCTTCACTCTGAAGGGATGGCGCACCCAATCGTCGCGTTCCCTGCGCGCCATCCTTTGCTCGAACTCCGCAACTGCGGTCAAGGATTCGCCAGATGGCGTCAGGAAGGCGCGCATCTTGTTTTCAACGGGCTCAGCCTTGGGCACGTAAGTCTGAAGCATCTTCCCAGGGCCATTCGTGTAGTCGAAGACAGGGAAAGACGGATCATGCTGGGTCGTCAAGAATCCGCCCTCACGGTCGTGCAGAACACCCAGGCCATGGTGAAGCTTGTACTGCCCAGGACAGTTTATGAACAAAATCGCCATGCTGTCTGCCCTGGGCTGGCCGCCTGCTGTCTTCCAGGGGGTCCACGCGGCGACGTCCACAGTCAGGCCGCAATTGCGGCACCAGGACACAAGCTGGAACATGCACATGTTGAAGTCCCCCATGCAGACCTTCACGTCCCATTCCCTGACGTAGGCGACGAACCAGTTGTAGAACTCATGGAGCTTCGTGACGCCCCAGTCTTGGTTGGCCAAGCTGTGGTGGACGTGCACCGCCATGACGTTGAAGGAGCCCCCCAAATGGGTCACGGCCTGGTCCAGGTGGACGCGCACCACCATCACCCTGGAGTACTTGTTGTGCAGCTTTGGCGCAGGAGCCTCCGCAACTGCGGACTGTTTCTTCTTCTTCTTCGTTTTGGACTTCTCCTGCTTGTGGAAGAGTCTCGCAAAGTCTACGTGTTCAATGTGGCCGCCACTGCGGTCCCTCATGCCAACAAGGAGGGTCCCTGATGGCTCGCCGCCCTTAACGCACAGGTAGTTGTATTGAGTCCGACTCCGAAACCTATCGTCCGCAACTGCGGCTGCACTGTCCCTCGCGTCGTGCTCCCCACTGAGTACCGCGCAGGTCTCGTCGTCGCACTCGCAGAGGGCGATGATCTGGGCAGGGTTCGCGCGGAGCTGCGCCCACTCGTCCGCGCGTTGCGTGGGTCTAGCTGCAGTCCCTCCGAAGTTGGCCACGTAGAAGCCGACCCGTCCCGCTTCGAACTCCGTTTTCTCCTCCCATGCGTCGACAAGAGCTCTTTGTTTTTCCGACAGATTGCTTGTCTCGATGATGGGCACCCGTTTCCAGGGTCTCCGCGACGACAACACTCTCGGCATGTAGGAGTCATGTGCTGCCGCAACTGCGGCTCCCGCACCTCCCTGGGACTCAGCCTCGTCAGCGGAGGCAGCCGAGGACGCGACGGTGCTGTCGCCATCTTGCGTCCGCTGGTCGTCGTCATCATCCGCAACTGCGGCTTCCTCGTCTTTGCCTCCCTCCTCCTCCTCAGCGTTGTGGATGAACACCGTTCTGGCGAATCGAGGTCCACGGTCCATACTCCCTGAGGATGCGCTCGGGCGCGCGGGCGGCCACATGCTTGCGTCTTCGCGTGCGCCACCTCGAGCCACGGTGGCTACGGAAATGGATCGTGAATGGGCATGGGGTCGGATGGAGGGAGGAGACAAAGAGGATTCGAGGAGTGGCAGAAGGAGGGCGAGGACTCAAAGGAACCGAAAGAACAACAAATGGACTGGCGGAGAAGCAGAAGGAGGGCGACGATTGCAAGGGACTGTGAAAGGATTATTTTCACAGCAGCAGGAAGACCGCAACTGCGGTTTTGCCTCATCTCCTGCCCGCGCGGGAGCCGCTTGGAAAAACAACTTCCCTCTGGACTTCCTGTGGGTCCGCAACTGCGGCCTGCATCACGCTAGGGCTGGGATTACCAGCGCCATTTGCCCTCCCAGGGTTCTCACTGTTTCCGAATGCACGAACTGCGACAGCGCCGAACGGTTCCCAGACGCCGCGTCGTTCGCGACTTTTTGCAGCCACCCAGCAAACGTGAGCGGCCATTGCTCCTTGTGCTGCTTGCACATCTCCTCGTCCCAATGCGTCTTGAACCATGCCCACTCCCCCCTCTGCTCGTCTGAGAGGACGCCTTTTCCGCGAGCCAGGCGATCCAGAGCTGCCATCCTGTTTTTCTTGATCTTGAACTCCTCGGGATTCCACTGCGCTAGGGCGTGTTTGTTAGCCAAAGCCGTTTCCACCGCAACTGCGGCCTCCTTCTTTGCCCTCAAGGCGGCCTCGGCCTCTCGAATCTGCTTCTTGAGATCGTGCAACGCCTTCGTCCTGTCGTTCGCTTCCAGAGCCAGGCGCCGCTTTTTCGCCACCACTGCGGCTTCGTGGTCTCGCTGGGCAGTCAACGCTCGTAGGACCTCGTTGTCCTCCCGCGCCAGCTCTCTCAACCGCTTCTTTTGTTTGTGTCGTTGCTGTCGGCAATCCTGCGCTAGTTTCTCCATGCCCACTTGGCGCAGCATATCTTCCGCCTCGCGGAGCGTTTCTGCCAAGGACGTCGCCACTGCCACCTGCTCGGCCGCCTCTGCGTCGACCACGCAGTCCATGGATACCGAGGATCCTTGAGGCCCAGGTGCCGCAACTGCGGCATCGCACTGTTCCGCAAGAGCCTCGGCCCACGAGGCCTCCTCTTGCTCTTCGTCCTCCTCGTGCTCCTCGTGCACCTCCTCCTCCTCCTCCTCCCCGCCCTCCTCATCGCCCTCCTCGTGGCCTGGCTCCTGGCCTAGCGCTTCGTCGCCGAGCTTCTCCAACACGGAATCTGTGGCGTCGTGTTTCTCGTATTCGTGTATGAGACGCAGCACGTCATTGTAGGACCATTTCAAACGTTTCTGCTCGCATTCTTCCCTCACCTCCGCGACTGCGGTGTCCACTTTTGCTCGCAGCCCCCCTGCTTCCCAGAGTTCCGCCGCCTCTCGGCAAATCTCGAGATCTCCTGACTTGTCGAAGGGCGCTCGAATTCCCACTTTCAGGAAACCTTTCGCGGCGTCCAAGTGCAACTGCACATTCTCCAACACTGACAGCATCAAGTCGGCGCAATCGGAACGCCGCAACTGCGGCACGTGCTTCCCCAACGCCATTTGCTGCACCAGCGCTTTGGTCTCGAGGGCAATGTACCGGCGCTTCACGTGCTGGTTCAAGTCCGTGTCCACGGGCTGCGCAACTGCGGTCGTCCCCCCGCCGTGAATGATCAGCACGTAGCCGCGCTGCCAGGCGAGTCTCCGCACAGCGTCTGCTTTGTGCGGGGAATGGTCGTCGGCCATGAGGATGCGCCACTTTCCCCGCAACTGCGGGTCGTCGGGCCAGGCCCGCAAGTGCCGCTGCAAGAATGATACAACGTCGTCTGCGCGGTAGGACCCCTTCTCGGACGTCGCCGTGCTCACCCAAGACGGATAGCCGCGACTGCGGGCATGTGCGGCCAAGCCCTCAGCGATGACAGATCCCCCCTTGAACATTAGCTCCGCCGGCGGTGGTCCGCAACTGCGGATGTCCTCCGCGTCGCTCGACACCGTCAGGTTCGCTGTCCACCGAGCCCTGCTGTCGTCATGCGCCTCGACAAGCGGGACAATGCCACCCTTCACAGCCAAGGTCGGCTTCGAGGCCGACGACGACTCGTTGTGGTGAAAGGGCGACTGGTCCCAGTTCAGGATGTGCGGGTCGTACCCCAGAAGCTCCTCTGCAGCTGCGCGGACCCTGGCCACGTTCAAGATCATAGTCTCAAAACGAGATTGGAGCAACCATTTTGGCACCTTGTACTTGCGGTTCGGCTTCTTCATGCTCAGGCCGTAGGAGCGCCGCCACTTCACCCACCACCGAGGCCGCAACTGCGGCACCATCGGTTTGCCTCCCCGCTTCATTGTCTCCACGCAGTAGTCCGCGACGAGTTGCTTCGCCTTCGTAACCAGCAGGGATTGGGAGAACCTGGCCAACATCTTGGGCCTCTCCTCCGCAACTGCGGTTCGCTTGGCCACCGCCTTCCAGTCCACGGAGTACCTCATGTGGGACCACCACTCGTACAGAGCGGCTTCCAGCCATGGAGCCTTGTTCGGGCGCCCTTGGTTGCCCCGCGCGCGGCGTCGGCCATGCACGCCCGCCGTGCCATGTCCACCTTGTGTGCGCCAGTTTTGAAACCACTTGGAGACGGCCTGGCGCTGCTGGACGACCCCCATGCCCTTCGGCCACGTGAACCGCCCGCAAAAAGACGCGATTGAATTCCGTGGCAGAACGCCCTCGCCCATCCA